ATCAACTTCAGGAAGCTCATAACCTCTTCCGCCTAGCAAGACCTGGAACCCAAAAGGGGAGGGAACCTCTGCAGTTGAGGTAAGTTCTTCTGGCGGCTGCGATGAACTTCCACATAGATAGGATCTCTGCATGGCGAGCAGCCCTGACCCAAGCAGCATGAGCGAAGGCCCTTCTGTTGGCAGCCTTGGCCGCAGCGTCCGCACGATTGTTAAAAGATGTGTCAATGGCAGGCTGAGAGTCATCTGTGCAATGACCCGTCACCTTGCGGACAGCAAAAAAATGCGCCGAGGTAAGACGCCACAACAACTCCAAGAGGTCACCATTAGGAACCAACGCAGGGGCACCCTCCCGACGCAACCAGCTACTGATGACATACTTACTGTCCGGGCAAGTCTCGGAAGAACCAAGCCGGACCGCTTCAAGTGAAGCTCTGAGCTCAGCGCGGTTGATGGTTTTGACAGGGCCAACAAGGGGGTAAGAAACAGTGCGGACCTGCCGACCACCTGACTCTAGCACGACTGCCCAAGAGGCACTACGCAGCTCTGGGACCGAAGGTGGACGAGCGGACCCGTCAGGGAAGGCACGTAGGCGACGAACAGGAAACTGAAAATCTGAAACCCTCTGTTTGAGTACGCATAGGTCCTCAAAGGCTGCAACATCAAGCTTTGCCCTACGGCAGTCATGCAACTCGTATACCTGCAACCAGCCATACGCCTGGAAAGCTGGGGGCTGAGAACGCAAAAGACGCCAGGCTGGAATACTGGGAACGGATCTCTTGAATAGCCTCATGAGAGCATGTTAGCCACACGTGCTGAGGGCCTTCCGAAAAGGAGCTGCACAACGGACAGACTTTGTCATCCCGACCTTGCCTTGCAGCCTGAGGCAATTGGCACACCCTGTAACGATGGTTAGCACCCAAAACAGATTCGAGGTCACTCCTAAGGCCATCAGGAAAAACCTTGAGAAGCTTAGTGGTAAGTACGATGTCGAGTCTGCTATGCGCGACCTCATGGGCGTGGGGTCTGTCAACCAACGTTTTCGAAATAGGACGCGACCAGTCCTCTTCAAGGACTTCCCGAAACCTTTGGAATGGAGAAAGAAGGAAAGGAAACGCGCAATGTAGATGACAAACAATGCAGTTTGGGGAAGGTTGGAAAGACTCAACAACCCGGAACAAGAAACCTGTGCTGGCCTTTCTGTAGAGGAGCTCCTGGTAAACATGTTGCCAGAGGTCGGGTATGCTACCTGTGGAGAGAAGCTTCCTTAAAGCGAGCAACGGGCAGAAGTACACTTCCTTGAGGGGGTCTACCCCGCGCAGCAAGTTTAAAACAACAACCTTGCTCCTCAAGAGGCGTTCGTTGGACCAGACCGCAGAGGTCACTGCAGCACGTAGTGTGTCCATATCATGCAGCGGAGGCCTTGATACTTCAGTGGCGTACAGAGCTTGGCACTCCTTGGGCTGAAAGCGTTCAGCTTGCCTGGTTCACAATCTTGTCCAAGGCATGTCAACCACGCGCATGGTTGCTTGTCAGCATTTCTTGCGGATTGTTCCTCCCAGCATCACATCTTCAACGTCGGCCAGCCCATGCGGCATCGACAGCATTTTCGCGTCTTTCGCGTATATTTCATTAAATCGTTAGCGGTCGCCGCAACAGGCTACACATTGCTTCCGACAAGATACGCCGAAAGAAAAAAGTGCGATCAAGCAACTCCAGCCCAGACATGCGCACACGCTCCGACAAGCACAGGAAGACGCATTCACAGATTGGCTACCAGAGCTTCGTGAGCAGAACCCACAAAATGCACAGCAAGCACTGGAAGTGTGTTGGCACATGAACATGAAAGAATACGAAAAAAAAATATGCTTTGATTATTTCGAGTGGCTGCGAGCGCCCGTAGGGGACCACTGCGCCGTTCAAATAGCCCAGAAGCTTCCTCACAAGTTGGAGTCATGGTTTAGACTTGCACCTTGCTGTAAGTCTGCTGCAAAGAAATGTACAAAGATTCACACAGGGATGAATTCCAGTGCCAGGCCCTTTCCGCCTTCACAACACCAGGATGTTAAACACTACTGAAATTTCCTCTGCAAACTCGTACGGTAAAGCTCCAGAAAAAACCATGCACATTGCTTCTATCTTGTCACCGCTGCAAGGTGATACTTCCAAGAGCCATCTCTGAATGGAGCTGAGGCTCTTCTGCGAGATAGCAAGCTGTACAATATGGCAAACCTCGTCACAATTGCAACACGGCGTTGGGCTGCAAAAGGAAATGCAAGGCGTCAGGAGAATGTTTTGACAAGACATGTTACGCTAAGCATATTGTGTTGCCCTGCTGCCGCTTGCCCTCCAGCATCTAGCATGTACCAGGTACTCAAGCACTGTCTCTGGGAAATTCACTGCATGTCAAACTCTTCACATGCAGGACGCAGACCTGCCCCAGAGTCCTTCCCTGGAGAAACTGCAGTCCACGTGAAACCAAGGCCTGAGTCATCACAGAAGAAGCTAAGGTCACACGCAACATGGAGAAGAGGAGCAACCAAAGCTTCGGCCTGTGCACAGGAGTATCGGCCTCCTGGCCTTGGCCAGAAAAACATGTTGTTTTGGTCCTTCACGTGAATCGGATTTTTCGGATTTTCGGGATCCGGACAAAACCATGTTTGCGTCATCTAGGCCTGACCGAGCAGTCACAGGAAAAGCTGCATGGCACGTTGTCACGATGCCTTCGAAGTAGCTGGCAGCTGCTTGCCACAAAGACGAAGGATAAAAGTCCTGCAAGGCCAAACCTCCAATTCCAAGACAAGCCTAACTTCACAGGAGTCCCTCCCAACTGCGGCCATCAGCCACAGAACCCATAGAATGCAGGTTGCCTGTCCTGGGGACTGTACACGTCGATGAAGTTCTTAGCAGAAGCGCTTGAGACAAAAATGCTCGGTGATCTTCTGTGTGCAAGCAAATGCTGAGCACTGAGCAGGTGGGCGGCCTCGCAGCAAAGCAGACCAGTCTCCACCATCTTCTGCCTGACAGAAATGTCAGTAGCAACATCTAGAACAGCGACTATTTCTTTCAATGCCCGGGCCTGAACATAGATCCAAGGACAAGCCTGGCAGTCAAGGCATAGCATACAAATCAACTGATATTGAATCCAATCAAGCAGTCAATCTTGAGTGCACAACACATCAAAAGGCTGAAGTCACCTCGCAGACTGTTCGCAAACGCTTGATGTCCACGTCCACGTTGCCCTGACCCGCCTTGGAGGCCAGGGCAGGGTGCAGGAGCTCAAAGCTCAGAGCACTTCGCTAGCTATGAATCATGCCCATGCTCGGGGTGTGGCGGCTGAAGCACGTTCTGCAAGTCTCTTTCGCAGGATCCTGCCACAAGTCAACTTCTATTCGAGTCGCCTGTCGCAACCAGAGAACACTGCGGGGACGTCCTTCCGTAGGGCTTCAGCTCATCCTTGACCAAAACATTAGCAAACAAGAAGAAAGCGTCTATGCCCAAGTGACTTGTCTCCGCAGAACATAGCATGTTGTCACCGGGACTTGGACTACGTAGAGTGTCTCGACCTGGGCCCAAATCGATGATGCGACAGCCAGGCTGATGCTGATGCCAATTTAAGGTTCATCAAGGCTCTGGCAGCTGCCATGACTTCCTGCATGTCAAGCACCTTTGACGGATCAACAGACTCGCTGATTTGAAAAAAATAATACCGGGATCTTCTGGGCACACGGCGTTTCCTTGTCCCAGGGATGTATTTGACCTGCTGTTCAGCTGCATCTTCTAGGTCTTAGCTCCTATTCATTCCGAAAATTGCACAAAGCCAGCAGCATCCAGCAGCCGTCTTTCGCTTCACAGCACCAGGCCATTAGACAGACACGTAAGGACTCCAAACTGCAACATACTTCACTGGTCTGAAGTTGCGCAGCCGCGATGACACTGGACAGCGGAATGACCCGAGCCTCAGTCACTGCCTGTGTAACTACAGGTCTGCGTCAATACTATGAATACTATGGATCACACACAGAGCGATCAGGAACTCTGGTCCGTGCCCGGGACTGCGAAAAAAAAAAAAAAAAAAAA